GGGAAAAATGAGAGAAAATGGGGAAAAAAGTGAAAAATCGGGGGGAAATTGGGGGGGAAAAAAAGAAAAAATTGACAAAAAAAAGGAGGAAAATTGGGGGGAAACAAGAAAAAATTGACAAAAAAAAGGAAAATTGGGGGAAATAAAAAAAATTGACAAAAAAGGAGGAAAATTGGGGGGAAATAAGAAAAAATGAGATTAAAAGGGTGGAAAATGGGAAAAATGGGTGAAAATTTGGGGCGAATGAGGGAAAGAAGGAAAAATGGGCAGAAAAAAACCAAAAATGTTCCCCAAATTCTCACCTTTCCCGCTGCTCCTGCAGCTCCTCTGTCAGCTGGGAAATTTGGGGAGGGGGCACAAAATTGAGGGGGGAAACACTTGGACACCCTCCCAAAATTCCCAAAATTCCTCCCAAAACTCTCCCAGAAAGCCCAAAATCCTCCATGAAATCTCAAATCCTTCTGGGATCCAAATTCCCCCCAGAAACCACAAATTCTCCCCAAAAAACCCCCAAAAGCACAAATTCCACCCAAAAAAGCCCAAATCCCAAGCAAATCCTCCAAAAAAACCCCAAAACCCACCCAAAAGAAACCCAAATTCCCCAAAAAATACCTAAATCCCATCCGAAAAAACACCAAATCCCCCTAAATCCCAAACCCCCTCAAAAAAATCTAAATCCCACCCAAATCCTCCCCAAGAAAAATCAAAATCCACCCCAAAAATGCCCAAATCCTCCCAAAAAAACCCAAATCCCCCCAAAATCCTCCCAAAAAAACACCACCCACCCCCAAAAAAAACCAAATTCCACCAAAATCCTCCCCAATTCCCACAAAAAAACCCAAATCCCCCCCAAATTTCCCCCCCTCACCTTGGCCACCTCCTCCTGACCAAAATCAGCCCTGGGACCCCCAAAATCAGCCCCAAAAATCATCCCAAAATCAGCGCTGGGACCCCCAAAATCCACCCCAAAATTAACCCCAGAATGAGCCCTGGGACCCCCAAAATCCACCCCCAAATTAACCCCAAAATCAGCACTGGGACCCCCAAAATCCACCCCAAAATCAGCCCCAAAATCAACCCAGGGACCCCCAAAATCCACCCCAAAATTAACCCCAAAATCAGCACTGGGACCCCCAAAATCCCCCCCAAAATTAACCCCAAAATCAGCCCTGGGACCCCCAAAATCCACCCCAAAATCAACCCTGGGACCCCAAAATCCACCCCAAAATTGACTCTGGGACCCAAAAATAACCTCTGGGACCCCCAAAATCCACCCCAAAACATCCCTGGGACCCCCAAAACAACCTCCAGCTGCTGGGGGTTTTTGGGGGGGTTTTTGGGGAGGATTTTGGGGGGATTTTGGGGGGTTTTGGGGTATTTTTGGGGCCCACCTTGGCCAGCTCCCTGAGCAGGGTGCTGTTCTGCAGGCGGAAATCGTCCTCTTGGCTCTGCAGCTTCCCCTGGAGCATCCTGGTCTCCCCCAGCAGGGCCTCCACCTCCTGGGGACCCCAAAAACGGGATCAGAGACCCCAAAAACGGGTCAGAGAAACCAAAAACGGGATCAGAGACCCCAGAAATGGGATCAGAGACCCCAAAAATGGGATCAGACACCTCAAAAATGGGATCAGAGACACCAAAGTTTTGGGGTATTTTTGGGGCCCACCTTGGCCAGCTCCCGGAGCAGGGTGCTGGGGGTTTTTGGGGAGGATTTTGGGGGGATTTTGGGGGGTTTTGGGGTATTTTTGGGGCCCACCTTGGCCAGCTCCCTGAGCAGGGTGCTGTTCTGCAGGCGGAAATCGTCCTCTTGGCTCTGCAGCTTCCCCTGGAGCATCCTGGTCTCCCCCAGCAGGGCCTCCACCTCCTGGGGACCCCAAAAACGGGATCAGAGACCCCAAAAATGGGTCAGAGAAACCAAAAATGGGATCAGAGACACCAAAAATGGGATCAGAGACACCAAATATGGGATCTGACACCTCAAAAATGGGATCAGAGACCCCAAATATGGGATCAGAGACACCAAAAATGGGATCAGAGACACCAAAAATGGGATCAGAGACCCCAAAAATGGGTCAGAGAAACCAAAAACGGGATCAGAGACCCCAAAAATGGGATCAGAGACCCCAAAAATGGGATCAGACACCTCAAAAATGGGATCAGAGACACCAAAAATGGGATCAGAGACCCCAAAAATGGGATCAGAGACACCAAATATGGGATCAGACACCCCAAATATGGGATCAGAGACCCCAAATATGGGATCAGAGACCCCAAAAATGGGATCAGAGACCCCAAAAATGAGATCTGACACCCCAAATATGGGATCAAAGACCCCAAAATTGGGCTTGGACACCTCAAAAATGGGATCAGACACCCCAAAAAAGGGATCTGACACCCCAAAAACAGGATCAGAAACGTCAAAAATGGGATCAGAGACCCCAAAAAAGGGATCAGAGACACCAAAAATGGGATCAGAGACACCAAAAATGGGATCAGAGACACCAAAAATGGGATCAGACACCCCAAAAATCAACTCAGACACCCCAAAAATGAACCCACAGACCTCAAAACACCCCTGAACCCAAACAGAAACACTCGGAAAGCACCAAAATACCCCAAACACCCCCAAGACCCCCCAAAATTCCCTCCAGGACCCACCTGGGCCTTCTTGCTTTTACTGAGAGCCTGGAAAAGAAGGGGAGGGGTCACAGGGGGGTTTTGGGGGGCTCGGGGGTGGAAATTTGGGGGTCCTGGGGGCCACAGGGGTGTCCTGGAGGGGTCATGAGAGGAATTTGGGGGATTTTGGGGGTCCCGGGGGGGCTCTGGGACGGTCACGAGGAGAATTTGGGGTTTTTTTGGGGGGGTCACGAGAGGATTTTGGGGTTTTTTTGGGGGTCCACCCTCACCTTGTTGGCCTTGGCCAGGTCCCTGTCCAGGGTCTGCACCCGCTGCCGCAGCCCCGACAGCTCTGGGGGGGTCACACCGTGAGGGGGGGGCTGTGAGACCCCTCCCCAGCCTTCGGGGACCCCCAAAAAAACCCAAAACCCCCCAAAATTCCCCTCCCCGAGGCCGTACCGGCGCCGTTCTTGCGCAGCTCGTCCGACAGCCGGTAGTTCTCGGTGCGCAGCTCCAGCAGCTGCGCCTGGGGGGCACCGGGGGGGTTTGGGGGGGCAAAGAGACCCCCGAGACCCCCCCCAAAATACCCTCCGTTCCTACGAGACCCCTCCGAGCCCCTCAGGACCCTCCAGGTCTCCCCTAAATCCCCCCAAAAACCCCCAGACCCCCCCAGCCTGACACATCCAGGGACCCCCAAAACCGACACCACGACCCCCTCAGCTCTCCCAGGACCCCCCAGGGGACCCCCCGGCCGCACCTGCATCCTTTGGAACTCCTCGGCCGACAGGGCCTGCGCCATCTTGGCGCGCGGGTCCCCCCCCGCAGGAGGGGCCGGAAGTGGCCGCTCTACCCCGCCGCGGGGTCATAGAGACGCCAAGGCACTGTCAGGTCCATGATCATAGAGTTCGGTCCTCCCGGCCGGCCAGAGCGGCAGGAGAATGCTAAAGTTTAGACCTCCAAGCCGGCCAGAGCGGCCAGGCGGATCATAGAGCTCAGTCCTCCCCGGCGGGACCATAGAGAGCGTACAGGCTGCTAAAGGCCCCCAGAGAGTCCTCGGGGCGGTACAAATCTTCTCCCCCCGCGTTTTTAGGGGGTCCTGGGGGCGTCTGGGGCTGTGCCCCCGTTCCCAGAGGGAGCACGGGGATCCCCTCAGGGCCAATACAGGCTGTAGGGACCCCCACCATGTTCTGTGGGGGGGTATAGGGCGCCCTCTGGTGGTGGAGGTCTCCAGGGACCACCCCCCAATCTCTGGCGCCCCTCAGGGACCCCCCCAGTTCTTGAGCCCCCTCAGGGCCACAGGGACCTGGCAGTGCTGGTGACAGCGGCTGGATCTGAGCCCAGGTGTGCCCAGGTGAGCACCATTTCCCCCTCAGGTGCCCCTCAAACCCTTCATAGGCGCCATTTCCACCCTCATCGCCCTCACGGGCACAACTTCTCCCCTCATGGGCACCATTTTTCCCTTCACTGTGCTTCACAGGTGCCATTTCCACCCTCATCACCCTCACGGGCTCCATTGTTCCTCCATCCACCTCACAGGCTCCATTTCCCCCTCCGCTGCCCCTCAAATCCTTTGCAGGCACCATTTCACACTCATCCCCCTCACGAGAACCATTTGTCCCCTCATGGGCACCATTTCCCCCTCAGCTGCCCCTCAAACCCTTCACAGGTGCCATTTCCACCCTCATCACCCTCATGGGCTCCACTTTCCCCCTCACGGGCTCCATTTCCCCCTCACGGGCTCCCTTGTCCTTCCATCACCCTCACAGATTCCATTTCCCCCTTGGTTGCCCCTCAAAACCTTCACAGGCACCATTTCCACCCTAATCCCAATAATGAGCACTATTTCTCCCTTCACTGTCCCCCATGGGCTTTATTTCCCCCTCAGCTGCCCCTCAAATCCCTCACAGGCGCCATTATCGCCCTCAGACATCATTTGTCCCCTCACGGGCTCCATTTCCCCCTCACCTGCCTTTCAAACCCTTCACAGACACCATTTCTACCCTCCTCACCTTCATGAGCTCCATTTTCCCCCTCATGGGTTCCATGTTCACCCTCATCACCCTCACGGGCTCCATTTCCCCCTCAGCTTGCCCCTCAAACCCCTCACAGGCACCATTTCCACCCTCACTCCTCTCACAGGCTCCATTTTCCACTCTCACAGATTTTATATTCCCCCTCCTCACCCTCACGGGCTTCACTTTCCCCTCCTTTACCCCTCACAAAAAATATTTCCCCCCCCTCAGCTGCCTGGGTCATCCTGTATTTCTGGGGATCGGTGGAGGGGAAACACGAGAGAAAAGTGCGGGAGGAGCCGGAGAAGGAGAAAAAAAGGAGATCGGGAAGGGTCGGAGAGAGGCGGGGCAAGGGTGGAGTTATGCAAATTATAGATGTGAACATGCAAATGAGCCACCAAGAGCATCATGGGAGCGTAATTTTGAGAAGAATTTCGCGATTTTCGGGGTCCGCGCGTGGAAAAATCGGGAAAAAAGCGCGAGCTGAGCCGGGCGGGAGGCCGGGAGCGGGACGCGCGGGTCGGGGCGCGGCGCGGGGCTGTCGTTCGGCGGCTCACTGATTCCCCGTCCCGGGATTGCGGCGCCTCCGGGAACGGTGCACCCCCACGGGGACCCGAAACGGTGAAAAACGGATCAGAATCAGTTAAAAATCACGATTACATCGCGATATCGGCCACGGTTTGCCAGTCCCTGTCCCTCTGCAGCTCATTCTGTGTCGCATTCGCCCTCCCGGAGCGCCGGCGAGCGACCAAAGCAGGGCTGAAATCGCGATGGAGCTCCTCTAAACCCGCATTTGGGGAGTTTTCCATCCGTTTTTCACCGTTTCGGGTCCCCGTGGGGGTGCACCGTTCCCGGAGGCGCCGCAATCCCGGGACGGGGAATCAATGAGCCGTCAGCAGAACCGCAGCTGCTATCGCGACAGAACCACGATTTGTCCCAGCTTTAGATGCTTTTGACCTGTTTTTCACCGTGCTGCCTCTGTCCGGGGTGCGCCGCTCCCGGAGGCACGGCAATCCCGGGACGGGGAGCGCAGCACAGACCGAGTGAGCTGTAAGAAATCGGCTGAATCAGGGCTGAAATCGCGATATAATCGCGATCTAACACGACTTGTAAGCGCAACGGAGTTATTTTGCATATCACGCCCTCTTAGTTTGCATAACCCCGCCCACTCGCCCAGCCCTTTGTACCCGCCCATCAGTTGAAAGCCCCGCCCTACGGGCGGTCACTCGTGATCTGATTGGACGAACGCGGACCATTATTTGCATTCACCACGCCCCCTTACGCAATAACCCGATGACATCCGTCATTAGCATAACCACGCCTATTGAATCATCAGCCTGCCATGCCTGATTAGCATAAAACCACCTTTATTTGCATATCACGGCCCCGCCCCAGCGCTCCCTGTTGGCGCTGCGGGTTTGGGGGGACACCGGGGGACACAGGAATCCCCAAAGTCACCCACACCACCCAAAAATGGGCTCAAATTCTCGATTTCGGGTTAAAATTCCCCAGTTTTGGGACCCTGGGCTGAGTTTTGTCCCGGGCAGGTTCAGGTGACCCCCCCCCATCCCCTCACCTGGGGCTCCCCCTCCCCAAATAACCACAGAATCCGTGTTTTTAACAAAAATAGTGATTTTTATTTGTATGAATGAAACTTTTCACGATCCGAAAGCTGCAGAAAGAAATTTTAAATAGTTAAGAACCTTGAAACTGCAGGACCCCAAAATCCTGATTTGTGACCCCCCCAAAGACTGAACCCCCCACCTTGGACCCCCCAAACCCCCCGGGGTCCCCCCGAGCCTCAGGGGGAACCGTTCAGTCACAGGGCTCAGTCTGGGGCGGTATCGCCTCATCCTCGGCAGGGGGACCCCAAAAAAACCCAAATTTCCCTCCCCAAAACCCAAAATCCCCTCATCACAACCCCCTCCAGAAAACCCCCAAAAACCCCTCCCCAAAATCCCCTCCCCAAACCCTTAAAGATCACCCCCAAATCCTAAATCCCCAAAATCCCCTCTCAAAACCCAAGAATCTCTTCCCCCAATCACAAAATCTCCACCACAAATCTCCAAAATTCCCATCCCAAACCCGCTCCATAAAACCTCCAAAATTTCCTTTTAAGCCTTAAAATCCCCTCCCCAAAACTTCCTCTCAAAACCCAGAATTCCTCCTTACCCCAAAATTTCCTTTCAAGCCTTAAAATCCCCTTCCTAAACCCCAAAATTCCCTCCCCACACCTCAAAATCCTCTCTCAAACCTCTAAAATTCCCTCCTCAACAAAACTCCAAAATTGTTTCAATACCCCAAAATCCCCTCAGGAAAAACCCCAAAATTTGTTCCCAAACCCGCAAAGTTCTCTTAAAACCCCAAAATCACCCTCCTCAAATCCCCCAAAATCTCCTCTCCACACCCCAAACCTCTTTCCCAAATCCTCAAATCCCCTCTTAAAGCCCCTAAATCTCCTCAAACCCCAAAACTGCCCTCCCCAAACCACCAAATCCCCTCAAACCCCAAAATTCTCTCCTGAAACCCCAAAATTCTCTCCCCCAAACCCCCCAAAATCCTCCCCACACCCCAAAATCTCAAATCCCAAAATCACCCACCCCAAATCTCCTCAAATTCTCTCCTGAAACCTCAAAACTCTCCCCCCAAAATCCTCCCCACACCCCAAAATCTCAAATCCCAAAATCACCCACCCCAAATCTCCTCAAATCCCAACATTCTCTCCCAAAACCTCTCAATTCTCTCCCCCAAAATCTCCTCCCCACACCCCAAAATCTCAAACCCCAAATCCCCCAAAACCCCGTCCCCAAATCCCCCAAAACCCCTGAACCTCCTCAAACCCCAAAATTCTCTCCCAAAACCCCTCAAAATCTCCTTCCCACATCCCAAATCCCCTCTCAAAGCCCCTAAATCTCCTCAAACCCCAAAATCGCCCACCCTGAACCTCCTCAAACCCCAAAATTCTCTCCCAAAACCCCTCAAAATCTCCTTCCCACATCTCAAATCCCCTCTTAAAGCCCCTAAATCTCCTCAAACCCCAAAATCGCCCACCCTGAACCTCCTCAAACCCCAAAATTCTCTCCCAAAACCCCTCAAAATCTCCTTCCCACATCCCAAATCCCCTCTCCAAGCCCCTAAATCTCCTCAAACCCCAAAACTGCCCTCCCCAAACCACCAAATCCCCTCAAACCCCAAAATTCTCTCCTGAAACCCCAAAATTCTCTCCCCCAAACCCCCCAAAATCCTCCCCACACCCCAAAATCTCAAATCCCAAAATCACCCACCCCAAATCTCCTCAAATCCCAACATTCTCTCCCAAAACCTCTCAATTCTCTCCCCCAAAATCTCCTCCCCACACCCCAAAATCTCAAACCCCAAATCCCCCAAAACCCCGTCCCCAAATCCCCCAAAACCCCCTCTCAGGTCCCCG